GAAGCTGTGATCTGAAGGCGCGGCCCAGGGACTCCGTGGCTTGGGGCTTTCTCACCTTACTGTGCTCACTGCTGGCTGATGGAAATAACACATTACTCTGATCAACCAATGAGCATCAGAAGGAGCCTACCAGATATTTATGCATCTGCTAAAGAGGGGAATCACAGAGAAGAGAGCAATTAGCAAATTAATGAATCATCCTCTGTTACACAAATTAGCTAATTGAGTTTTAGGCAGAAGCAGCAGAGTGGTCCTGCCTCCATGTTCCAGCCACTGATTGTGGGACAATTACTAAACTCTTGGAGCCATGGTTTTTGTATTGGTATAATGGGATCCCAACCTTTGTCAGGCCAGCCTCATTAATTTATTATGAGGAGCAGCTGAGATAATGTATGTACAATCACTATGGACACTGTAAAGAAATATTCAAATGGAAGGCATCATTATTGACTTTGCCTAATACCAGAGATTAATAAATAAAACATTTTCTATTTCATGTGTATTAAAATTATAAAGCAAGGAGCCAGGCTCACCCTAGATTTTAATAAGGAAACTCGTCTAATCAAGACTTCAGGCATGACTTAGGCAAATAAAAATTAGGTCTTTGGAAGCATTTATTCTAACATGTAATTTTAAATGATTTTCTGTGTAGATGGATGTTAGCCATAAGATTAAAAAATGTGAGTTATTAGCAGTGAGTTATTAGCAGTCGTCTTTGTTTTTGTTTAAGTTACTTTTGTTTTACAAATTTTATATAATTGTCAAATGTTCAAAAGTACTGGGAGAAACACCCTTTTTAAAAATGTACTTTTTCTTTTTAAGTTCTCCGTCTAGAAATTGGAAACAAAAAAAAAGCTTTTTATATTCGAGACTCCCTCCTATTACTGTCAATAGCAGTTAAGTGCATTTATGGAGACATGAGACAGCACAAAGATTCTTCTGTAATTCATCAGAAGGCCCATCTTAAACATAATTACATTACACAGCTCTGCTCAGTCATTAGTTTCTTGTTTAGCGACAATGTCCTTCATTTTAAATCCTTTGATGGTAATTATCTGTAACTATGCCCTTGAATTCTGAAAGCACATGTACTGCAGCCCTCGTGAACAATGGGTATTTCTAGACTATGAGGCAATTAGTTTCCCATAAGAGATCATACAGGAAATGGTTTGTAACAACACTGAAAATTCACAGGTTTCTGAGCTTGAGCTACAACCCAAAATGGGGTGTGTGGTTATGTGTTTGCGTGTGTGAGTGCACATGTGCATAATTTAAAAAAAAACAAAAACTAAAAGCAAGTTTTTAGGTATAAGGCATAACTTTTTAAACCTTTAATGACCATATCACATTTTCAAGTTTTATATGTTGCTTAATGCACATAAATTCCTATCACAGGCTGACCTGGAAGTGAGATATTTTGGAGATCTTTTTAGTTCTACCAGTCGTCTTTTGGCATAAAAGTGTCTTGTGTTTTTGTATTTATTTATTGAGCACCCATCCATGCCAGGAACTGTTTGCGTGCAGAGAACACAGGTCCTAGGAGGGTCAGTGCCCAAAAAAAGCTCACAGGTCAGTGGCAGAGGATAATAAGTAAACCTGAGTAACATGATTATCTTCAGTCCTGCCAAAGAGTGGACCACGTTAACATTGAGACCTTAATATTCCAACATGTTATCCTCACCTACTGATTTGGTATCTTCTCAAAGCTGGAAGTTTCAAGGAATGTCCTACAATATTTTTCCTGCTCCCCTTGAAACTTGTACTCATTTATCCCTCTGTCCTCAGTGAAACTGGCAACAACACACACTGCGCTGCCATGTAAAGACCAACCCAAGCCTGGGTGTCCCCATGAGAGGGGGTCCCTTCTAGATGCCTCATTTGGAGTCCAGCACACTCTGGCTTTGGGTCCTGTGATGTACAGCAGCTCTGCAACATGTCACACCATTCTGTCATCCTTGTCTTTTCTCCCCCATTTCTCTCCCCCAGCTTTTGTTCTCTTAGGCTCTTTTGAAAGTCACATTTACGTTCTTCACATATGGGAAGTATTTTTGACCAAAACTAAAAACCCTAATGTGTTCCTTGGCAAAATGATTGGCTGAGCGAGCCTGGCTTCAACTTGAAAGGAAAGCTTTCAGTAGGCAACTAAACAAAACAAAAACCCCACAAACCACTCTGGCCACACTGTAATTCTTATTCATAAAAGCTAAATTTACTTATGCTTTACATGTATGCATTAAATAAAGCACCCTTTTCCAGTGCAAGAAGGTGAGTATTGGAGTCATTAAATTTTTTATTATTGAGCTACACATGGTCATAGAAATCCACAGAGACATTTACATTTTCCTAAAACACAGGCTTTATAGTAGGAACCAGAATTTTTTTTTTTTTCTTTTTAGGAATTAACCCTCTAGCCAGGTGGCACAAAGAGAACACTGTAGAAACAGTATTTGTGAAGTGCCTATTATCTGTAAGGCATTGTGCTAGGGGCTTTGCACAGTTCTTTCCCAGAATCCTTACCACCCACCCCAGGAGGCAGGTAGCAGGATCATTTCATTGAGAGAGGAGGAGACTGAGGGTCACAGGTTTAGTGTCTTGCTCGAAGTCTTTCAGCCCTTCTTACAGGCGGCTCCTTACCATCAAAAGGCCAGAGGATTTCTAGGGTTCCCTTGTTCCTTGTCTTATCTCTGTGTGTTTTCCTTCTTCTATAAAGCAGTGGGAATCCTAAGTCAGGTTTGTTTGGATATGAATTGCCTGAGAGAATGACCAGCACCCAGGGTTGTGTCTGAAGGGCAGTTAGCGGGACAAAATTCCTCTCCAGCTGATACTAGGGGGCAACCCCCAAAGCTTTGAACCCAGGCAGATCTGTCTCTATCACCTGAGAGATTCCAGGCTAGTTGTTTATCTTCTCTGAGTCTCAACTTTCTCAACTGGAACATATGGTTAATGCTGTCTACCTCTCAGCACTGTCATAAGGACTGGAGAGACAGAACATACAGGACAGACCTGGGCAGTGGTTGGTAATGATTCACTGTCATACCTCTGTGTTCTTAGCCATGCACGGCTACTGCATTCACCGCTGCTTTGCATGAGCAGGTCCAGGCCTGCCCCAGGGTCTGAGACAGTGCCCATCAGCTTTAGCAGCATAAGCCTGTCTGACCATCCTGACATCTTGCCTAGATCTTGCTGTACTTGGCTTTTCCTCTGAGATGCTGAATCTAACTCCCCAATCCTTCTGACCCCCTGCCGGAGCTCTGACTGGGGCCTAGGTGAATGAACTGGCCTTCATCCTGTGGCTGGATACACACAGCCACCTTCATCCTAGACCACACCTAGCCCAAGATCTTTATATCCTTTGAATACTGTTGGATGCATTGTAGAACGCCCTTTGCAACTGGGTGTGATCGTCCCCTCCTACTGTTATTATTCTGAATATCTTCTTGATGTCAGGCCCTGGAAAAAGATAAGCATGGTCCAAAAAATTGAGCTAAGTGATTTATGGGAATTATCTCATTTAATCCTCATTATGACCCTGTAAAGTAGGTGCTATAAATACCTTCATTTTCAAATTGAGGAAATTGAGGCTTGAGAATATTACGGCCTTTTCTATAAGCCACGAAACTTGTGAGAGGTAAAGCCAGGTCTAGAAAGCCGAGCCAGGACTCACAGCCATTATGGCATAGTTTTCCATCCCACTTGTCCACCTTTACTGCTGCCTCCTTTTCTGATCACTCAAAGTGGTGGCAGCTGCCTTCTCTTATTGCAGCACCTCTCATGATGCGCTGTCATTGATTTGCTTGTTTCCATCTTTCATTATATTGGGAGCTCCCTGAGGACAGTGACATGTTTTATTTAGCCCTGTACCCCAGTGCTCACCTCAATGCCTGGCACAGAATCAGTATTTCAAAAGGTTTTTGTTGACCGAGTTGTATTGGTTTTTTCTTTTCTACCTGATGACTTATGTTGCTGATGTCCCACATATTCTCTACCCCAAATCATCTGAGCTATGACAGCTTTAGAATCAACATTAGCATTTACTCTTGGGTTTGAAATGGTGTGTATGTGTATATGTACATATGTGTATGTCTCTCTGTGTTGTGGTATTAGTGAAAGCAACTGTTTTTCTACAACAAAAGCTTTTAACCATCCCGTTTCTTTTGTTGCCTTTAATCTGGAAACTTTCCATAGCTTTTCTTCGTCTTTATGGCATAAATATTGCTGAAGAATATAGTTCATTAAAAAAAATAGAATGCTGCCCATTTTGGGTTTGTCTGATGTTTCCTTATGATTAGATTCAGGCTCTGCACTCCCAGACCGAGTGATGCTGTGTCCTATTCAGGCCATCACATCTGGAAGCGCATGATGTTCATCTGCCCAGCTGAAGTTAATTTCGATCACCCAATCAAGATGTTGTCCTGTTTCTTCCCTGTATAGTTAACATTCTTTTTCCTCTTGTAACTAATAAACAATCTGTGAGGAGACATTTTAAGAACATGCATACATCCTGTTACTCATCAAAATTCCCTCCTGGATCTACTGATGATTCCTGCCTGTACCTATCTCCAACATGATGATTGCAAGATGATTTTGCGATTCAATGCAATATCTGATTCTAGACTGGAAGAAAAAGATGCCAGAAAGGACATTGTTGAGTTACTGATAAAACTGGAATATGAATGGAAGATTAAATAAAGTACTATATAAAAATGAAATCTACTGAAATTTACTCTTAAATGACTCATAAAAAATGTGTACATACACACACGTGTGTGTGTGTGTGTGTGTGCATAGAGATAGAGAATATACAAACAATAAAGCAAATGAGGTAAGTGTTAAAATGTAAAATTTAGGTAATTGGGTCTTTCATGCATAATTCTTATTTTTGCAACTTTTCTGTAAGTTTGAAATTATTTCCCAGAAAAAGTTAACAGCTGCTTTTAGCCACCCACAGAATAAACATTAGCTGTCCTACCTAAAGCAATGTAAGTCTTTCATCCAATGGCTGGCACTGACTCCATCAACAAGCACAATTTTCCCTTGAACTGAATGATCCCCGAGGTCTGGTCCCACAAGAGATCCTATGACCCCACATGAAACTTCCGTCTCCATGATGGTGCCCATGGAGACTGCCAAGTACATAATGGAGGGATTCTGAAGTGGAATCATCTAGTTCTGGTTGCACATATCTTGGTTTCCTTTATTAAAAGACAATACAGAATGATAAAATGATACCTAAAGGGTCTGAATACAAGATGAAATGACAGAGGTCCCTGGTGTGGTGCCACAGAACCTTCTGCCACTGGCACTGGCAAGCTCTGTTCAGTCCCCTTTCATGATTGCTGCATACTCCTTCTGGTGTTCAACCAGTTTCAGGAATACTTGATATTTCTTGTCATAATATCTGTGGGAGACAAATGAATATGTGAAATGATCTCAGACAAACTGTTAGGCAGCTCCCCTTACATTTAGAATGTGACTGTATCTGTTATGGTTTTGTAGACACCCCCATTTTTTCAATGCTTACAGCTTCCTGAGCAATGGCTATTATTATCTCTGTTATCTCTAACCTACATAGAGTGTTATTATCTTCATTTTACAAGTAAAGACATTTGCTCAGAAAGGCATATCTAAAGTAGTATAAATAAAAATTGGCAGGGCTGGAATTCAAACTCAGGTCTGTCTGACTTCATGGACTCCCCTGTAATGTACTGAAGGTCCCAGGCTTAACATAGCACCGTACACATTACCAGCTTCACTAAATATTTCATATGTGACTAGCCCCAGGTTTGACAACTGGTTTAAAACCACAGCCTTACCAGGGACAAGACTAAATATTTTCGTCACCCTTTGCAGATTCCACACCTCCATTTCCTTTGTGGACTGCTTTATCTGGGAATAAACCCCGTGAAAATATGACTAATGCCTTTCCTGTAGCTGTGCCCTACCTTCCAGGCATCCCATAGTAGACCTCGCCCTCCCTGTATTCTTCAGGGGAAGCCTCTCAGAACCTGGTGCTGGCCTTGAGTCAGATGGCTTTACTCCTCCTCCGTGGGAGGAGCTGACATGGGGTGAGGGGTGGGTGAAGCCAGGTTAGCATATCTTGGTAGAGTCTGGGGTACTCTGCAAAGAAGTCTTCATGAGGGAACTCTGGTACAAGCTCATGAATTGGGGAAAAGAAATTATAACAGCTCTGAAACTTCTACTTGAAAAAAGGCTGAACAGATTAACAGGACTCTCCTCCCCACAAGCATTTCTACCTTAAGCATTATGGTAACTCCAATTCTGTGATAGGGCCAAACTCAGCATTTCGAGGTGAACTCCAAAGCCTGGGTTTGAATGGCAGCTTGCTCTATTACTAGCTGTGTGACCTTGGATATGTTACTTAATCTGTTTGTGCCTAAATTTCCCCATTTGTAAATGAGAATAATTACAGGATCTATCCGAAGAGCTGTAGTGTGAATTAAGTGAGGTAGTCTATGAAAAGCACTTAGAATACTGTCTGGCTCTTAGTATGTGATATCAGTGCTAGTTATGGTAACTACTTTTTACAAAATTAATATTCCAGTATTTTTGATCTAGCTATACGTGGGTTCTGCTAAAACCCACTCTGTGAGTTTTATAACTCCAAATTTATTAATTATAAAATGATTTTGGGAATAGCAATTTTCCTCTTTTAATGATATTCTATGACAATTTAATGCTAAGCAATTCTTTCATTCTGTGAGATCGACTTCCTAACCTGGGAATCTTGAAACTGCTAGAAAGGAGCCTGCTTGGCTCAGTGACCCTTCTCATATACTTGAAGACATCCAATTTTGACATTGACAACTTTGCAGCAACTTTGTTGGCCTCATCCTTTGTACAGTGGGAAAAACATCAGCTTTGCAGGCAGAGAAACCTGGATGATTTTGGGCAACTTTTAAAAATTGTCTGAGCCTCAGTTTCCCTGATGTAAGAGGGTGATAACAGTTTTAAACAAGAAAATGAACATGATCTATTCCATGAGTTGTCAAGTGCTAACAAATGTGAACTAATGTTCTTACATACTTTTATTATCCTAGAATACTAACAGATGGATGTTTTTCCTTTTTCACACACAGGAAGCTGAGGTCCAAACCACTTTTTTTTCCTCTGTGCTTTTTATTCAATTTTTTTTGTTGTTGTTATTTTGGCAAAATACACAGAACACAAAATTTGCCACTTTAACCATTTTTAAGTGTGCAGTCTAGTGGCATTAAGAACAGCCACATTATTTATTATGCAACAATCACCACCATCCATCCACAGAACTCTTTTCATCTTCAAAACTGAAACTCTATCCCATTAAACAATAACTCCCCATTTCCTGCTCTCTTCAGCCCCTGGCAACCACATTCTGCTTTCTGTCTCTATAATTTTGACTACTCTAATTATCTCATAGAGTATTTGTGATGGGCTTACTTCATTTAAAGTAATGTCCTCAAGGTCCATCCATGTTGTAGCACATGTCAGACTATCCTTCCTTTTTAAGAATGAATACTATGTTTTGTTTATCCATTCATCCATTGATGGACACTTGAGTTGCTTTTCTCTTTTAGCTACTGTGAATTATGCTTCTACGAACATGGCCGTACAAATATCTCTTTGAACCTCTGTTTTCCGTTCTTTTGGGTGTATTCCCGGAAGTGAAATTTCTGGACTATATTGTAATTTTATTTTTTACCTTTCTATTGAATTTATTGGGGTGCCACTGGTTAACAAAATCATCCAGGTTTCAGGTGCACACTTATTCAACACATCATCTGCATACTATATTGTGTGTTCATCATCCCAAGTCAAGTGGTAATTCTATTTTTAATTTTTGAGGAACCACCATACTATTTTCCACGGCGGCTACATCATTTTCATTTATACATTTACACCAACAATGTGCAGGCTTCCAATTTCCCCATATCCTTGTCAACAGTTGGTATACATACACCTATTTTGATAGTTCCCATCATAATGGGTGTGAGGTGATATCTCATTATAGTTTCAATTTGTATTTCCTGAATGACTAGACATTTTGAGCACCTTTTCATGTATTCATAAGCCATTTGCATATTTTCTTTGGAAAAATGTCTTTTCAAGTCCTTTGCCAGTTTTTGATTTGAGCTGTTTGTTTTTGTTGTAGTAGAGTTTTAAAAGTTCTCTGGATATTCTGGATATTAATCCCTTATCAGATACATGGTATGCAAATACTTTCTCTCATTCTGTGGGATATATTTTTATTCTGTTGATAATGCCTTTGAATGAACAAATATTTCTAGGGCACTTTTTATAAACTTCCCTAAGATCACAGATAAATTTGGATGGGATTTGGGATCATCCTAAAAGGTATATTGAACCATAGTCACTAGATTATGCTTTCCGGGATGCTGACTTGTAAAACCAAGTGAATCCTGTCTCTTCCAAATTCTCCTCACACTCAGTCAGTTGATTTTGTATGGTACAGATCTGCGTATATGTTCTGTACAGATAATAATGCGCTTTGAGTCAGGTGGAGATGTGAGAGTTGCTCAGAGGGAAACTGGCTCCCTTTCTCCTTGCAAATCTTCAGGCAGCCTGCAGATGGTGATAGAGCACTGTATGTGCCTCTTCCACAAGGGCGGTTTCCCAGCGGACAACAAAAAGTGAAGGAGTTTTTTGCAAAACGCGCACACGGATTTATTGAAAGAACTTAAAAACAGACTTCCCTCAAAAGTCTTGGGAGTGTCAGTGAAGAGATGGAGAAGAAGAATCTGTTTCAAATTTCAACGAGAGGGATGCGGCTACCCCAGAGCCCCCCTATATCGGAACTCAAATCTCTCACTGTTCCTAAATTGAGCCCCACATCGTTATTTAGAGAGGGGTTTATATTTGGAGGGCCAACAGCCCAAATCCATTTGGAGACCTTCTTTAGGAAAATAAAAATAAATTGGATTACTTTGTGGATATTTCCAACTGTGTAAAATACTGACTGTCCTTTGGTGGGGTCAGCCCCTTTGCCTGTCCATTATACACGGTGAAATCTGCTTTTGTATCTCAACCTCAAATACTTTCCAAAAATTATAAAAGGCCGTTGCACAACGGTCCCTTCATCTTTAAACAGACTACCCATGACTTAATAGATCTTTTGCATCTCTTACCTGGATTTTTTGACAAAGCCTTTCATCTGATCTCTCTGCTTCTATCCTTAAGTCTTTCAATTCATCCTTTAAGAGGGATTTTCCTAAAATCCACATCTGACCAACTCCCACTGCTGCTGAAAACTCGGCATCTCCATTCTGACTGCAGGATGAAGTCTGAGGTCTTCAACATGGCCTCAAACTCTCCATGCGGTGAGCCCGCCTCCTCCCTCACATCCAGTTTTACATCCGACCATTCCCCCGTCATACTTTGCATTTCAGAATTATGAGCTGTTTATGGTTACTTCATAAACTGTGCAGCTCTCACCTTTATAACTTTGCATGCTATTCCCTCTACCTGTCTTGTCCTGTCTTGCAATTTCTTTTATGCACTTAAAGTCAGCTAGACTTAAATCTCCTCTCACCCCCACAGGGTCATATTTATTAAATTCCTTAGACTGCTGCATAAAACTTATTCCTTTGTTCTGAAATGATCTTTGTGCATAAATAAGATGGCATCTTATTCCTCTCTAAATCCAAGGCTAATAATCAAGATGCCTTCAATGTAATAGGAGCTCAATAAATTAGTGGTTTGTGACTTGGGGTTAAAATACTGGTTAAGATCATGATGTAGCTCTCAAAGCCAAGTGATGCAAAGGGTAAAAGAATGGACAGAGGGAAGACATAAGAGATTCATGTTTTAGAACAGAGGAGACCAAATATGCTGCTAATGACCTAGGCAAAAGAACATTGGTCTGAGCGTTCAGAAGTCTGGATTTGACCCCCAGGCCTGGCCCTAACCAGGTAAGTGACTTTACCTCCCTGGGACTTGGTTTTATCAACTATTAAATGAAAAGACTGGATTAGCTGTCCTCCAATTTTATTCCAGCTCTTACAGCTGCATGTGTTTATATGCTTTCATTCCTTAGCATTGTGAGTAAAAAAACATATAAACTTACCTCTTATCCTCAAGTCTGGGAAACACAACTTTCCCCACTTTGCTCATTCTTGCCATTGCCTCCTGTAAAAAAGAACAGAGTTGGAAAGCTAAAACAAAAGTGAGGCTTGTCCCAGGCAAGAGATTCTAATTAGAATTCATTTTCCCTTAAGATAGTCAGTTAGTCCATTTTTTTAAACTTATTTTCCCTAGTAATGGGAATAAAACCCCAATAAACACTGAAAGTTACATCTATAAGTACAAAGCCTGGGCTTAATAAGTGGCTGTGTGTTGAGGCCTTCAGGGCACAAACAGCCCAGAAGGTAAAGCTCCTGTGCTCACTCGCAGGGAATGGTGGGAGAGAATTATTCCCCCTTCTTATTGCCTGGACACCTGTGCTTCAGAGGGCAACATAATCAGCCACTGAGCACACTGTCTACTCACAATATCAATAGCTGAATGGAAACCACTTTGCCCCTATACTATAAGACACAATATTTAGGACTCATCAGTTCATCTTTGTTTTTTGGGGGTTTTTTTCCCCAGCAGTCTTTGAAATTGTGAGTACAGATATGGGACATCTGGGTAAGTCCAGTTGACTTGAGTTCTGGAATGAGACTTTAGGACATTCTTGTCTTTCCAGTGGAGCAATTAGGCAGACAAATGGTAGAATGCAGCATCTGGGCAGACGTGGTCTGGCATGCACAGCATCAAGATCAACCATAGAGTGTGCTGGCTCCATTATATAACTGAAATGGTTAGGTTTCCTTGGGCAGTCACCCAATGCTGTTAAAGCTATGGGAAAGTTAAGGAGAATGGAGTGAACCCACACTTTGGGGTCCAGCAGACATGATGAAGGAGATTGCAAGTAATAGCATGACAAAGTTCCTCAGATTAGGCCCTGCCTTACGAACAGCTACTGAAGTCTTATTCTTAAGAATGTAGTCATTCTGAGGTCACATATGTACAACTTCTCATTTCATATGTTTATCAATTAGTCACTATGTACCAGACACTGTGCTAGGGACACAGACTTGCATATGCCATGTTTTTTGTCCTGGAGAAACTTACAGCCTCGCAGGGAGTGGAGGAATATAAAAAGATGACTGCCACACAGGATGTGAGGGACCTCGGGCATCTCTAAAACATATCCAAATAGCCCCTGCCCATCCTTGCCACCTTACTGTGACTTTTACACTCATACACAGACACACACACTCATACATTTATTATTTATCATTAATTCCTTTCTGATATGCCATGTATTTACTGGTTCATGTGTTCCTTATCTGCCTTCTCCTGTCCTTGCCCTAATGTGAATATAAGCTACATGAGGCCAAGGCTTTTGTTTGCTTCTTAATCTTAGCACCTAGAATATTCATAAAACATATCAAGCCCCTTCCATGGGCCAAGCACAGCACTCAATATGTATATACAGAATATAGAGATGGGTCCTTTCATCAAGAAGCTCACCAAGGAATGCAAAAGACATTTACCGTGATCCAACTAGAGTGTGATAAATCTATGTCGAAAGCAGATAAACTTATTTTTAATAGTCATTCAAGAATTAGGAAACCTGAAAGCTTCTTCATCTTCTAATCACTTACACATATTTCCACTCGTGCAAGGATGCTCTACCAACTCTTCCCCAAGGATGGCAAAAATGTTCTGAAATAGTTATTTGCCCTCAATGGGTTTAAAAACGCTGAGTCAGGGAGATCAGGGATGCTGAGGGTAGCAAGCACATTGACAGCAGAAAGGAAATGGCAGCCCTAAGTAAGGAGGAAATTGTAAAAATTATTAAAAAGTTATTGAAAACAAAATCATGGAGAAAGGATCAAAACCAAAAATAGGGCTGTCTGCGGCCATTTTGTGAAGGGGAAAACAGTCCAACATGCCTTAGTGAGATCACTGGCGTTCTACTTACCAAGGATATTTTAAGGGCTCTGCTCACCCCAACATGGGTCGGAACATCTTCCTTCATAGATTAAGTCCTGACTCCCTTAAAGCAAACCCTGTATTTTGCTAAGATGGCCTCAGCAATGCCAATGGCCACCCTCCGCTCCCCACTTACACTCCTATCTTACCCTTGCTTCTTGCTTTAGAGTCCTGCTCTGCTATGATCTAGGGGGATCTTGCCTTTTCTCCCTCCCCTGACTCCTGAAAATGTCCTCAGAGAATATTCCTCGGGACGAGCGTGGGCCTAAAGCTTGAAATGGCATCCCAGGAGTGCTCTCCTGGGTGGGACCCAGGAAACTTGTATCACAGGAGGTGCCCACTGTAACTGCCATGTGGACAACAGGAAGACCTGGAATTCTTTCTTCCTCTCTTCACACTGCTGCTGCTTGTTTTTGAGAAACGCCAGCAATAGAGACTTCAAAAGTTTAAAAGGAGGTTATTTTGTTTCTCAAAAAAACAAAGATTTAAGCATTGAACTTAGCTCAGGTAGCTATTCCACGGAAAAGATTTGTTCTGACTCATCCTGCTGCCTGCCTCCCTCCTAGGTGGAGGTTTTTGCTCCCACAGCAACTTGTGCTTACAGCCGTCAGGACATGGCACCATAATTTTTGGTTAGCACATCAGTCTCTCCAACTGGACTGTGGCCTCCTGTGAGACAGGAACTGTTACAATTATTTCCACTGCCAAACTCAGCATCTGGTATAGCGTACACATTCGGGGAATGTGCGCGATGAATGAACTTAAGGGTCATATATGTGACAGAAGGCTCAAATGGAAGTTTTGGCTGAGATCTAAGAATGACAGATATAAGATACCAAAGTGAGCTGGAAACAGACCACCCTGAAGAATTTGGAAAAGGGGTGGTTGAGGGCCCATGAATCAACTCTTAAACCTTTCATCCACATGGAAAGTCAGAAAAAGAGCTGGATTTTTAGGAGAGAGCTGTTGGTCTATTGTGTATCAGGCCTCCTTCTTGGGAAGGGCTGAGTGGAGTCTCCCCCATCACAAGTCGAGAGAAGCAGCACTTCCCTGTGACCAACAGGGACCTCAGTGTGTCCCTAAGGTTGTGGGACGCAGTAGATTGAGTGTGGCTCCTGCCTGGAAGAGAAGGGCTAGTTCGTGCGTCAGTGTAGAAGTGAAGGGCTGGTTGCACTGGGATCAGCCAGCACTGCCAGAGTCTGCCAGACTCCAAAAGGCATGGCTGTTTCCCACAGACTCTACCCTGGCTCACATGTGAGAGAGCTGTCATGCGTTATCTTAGATACTGCCTCATACAGACACCTAATGAGGTTGCGAGAGAGTCTGCACAAAGAAGCTTGAAAGAACCTACTGGATTCCTAAAGGATTAAGAGGAGAGTGAGCAATCTACTAGAATAGAGAGGCATTAACAAGGACAAGATACTGGTTTCCAGAAGTGGAGGTCCTCCCAGAAAATCTGTGACAGAGCCTATAAATACCCATTGGGCTAAGAGAGCATGAGGCCCATTTATGACAAGGCTGATTAAAGAACTATCCTACACCCCCAACCTCTCTCTTCCCTGACACCCTCCAACCACCTCAGAGGAATAAGAAAAGCTAACATGCTGGAAAGAAAGTGAATGAGGAAGGAAGAAGATGGACCACAGCTGCCCCTTTTCATTTGCAGCAAACCCAGCTGGGGGAGTGCAGAGATGTCTCATCTTTACGAGAAAATTGAAGTGATGATTATTATATGTTCTTTGCTATTCTAATTTTTGAATTTTGGCTATATCTTACAACTTAAGGGACAATAAAACTTGCATTATCTAAATGACTTTGTACATATCTAAGAAAGTAGTGGAACCACCACAATTTTTAACCAAGGCAGAGAAAAAATAGCTGCAAAAATGTAAAGGGGCAGTGGGGGTAAAAAACACAGCTGTCTCTCAGTTTTATCTCAAGAACTGTGTTTGTTCTAAATGCGAGTTACATATGCGTGCACCATAAACATTGGATCAACATATATTAAAATGCTAACAGGTTCAAGAACTTGGATAATTTGGGTACTTTTTTCTCTTGTTTGGTGTGTGTGTGGTATATGTTTGTGTGTGTGTGTGTGTGTTTTCTAAATTTTCTACAGTGGCATATATTGAGTTGATAGTTGTAAGGAAAATAAAAATATACTACATTCTTAAAAAAAAGTTATGCTTACAGACAGCCAGAATGACTCGTGCTCACCCTCCTCTCTCCTGGGAGGCAGGACTCATTATGGGTATTTGACACAATAAGGAGAATGCCCAGAGAATCAGTGCTGTCATCAGAAATAGCACTGCTGAGTTTTCTAATTTCTCCAGTAATTAACATAAAACTGAAACCTCGTGAGCCCACTGGCTGCAATAAATCTGGAAATTACCACAGCATAACAATACGGATTTATTATGGAAATGCTGACACGTGCTAAATATAGTCACCCCTCCCCTCATATATTTCTGTTCAAAAGGGTCTATTTGGAGCTGGCCTCAAATTTCATACTTTTTGTCAGCAGGCAGGAGCCGGACAATCTTAATTTGCAGCACGCTACCCTCTTTGTTTGAAAGTCTAGACAGCACAATGAATGCAGTGACTTTTCTCTTTCCTTTTTGCCCACACAATGAAAGCTTTTTAAAAAACAAAATATTTTGTAAAATCGCATTTTAATCACTTCTTTTCTTTCTCTCTCTAAGGCAGAGCTATAAATAAACCATGAAAGTTCACATTTGATCGTTACTTCTGAAAGCAAGTGAAGGGTTTCTGTAGGAAAAAAATAGGGGCCCTGTGCCACGGCCATGAAAGGAGCCATTGATGGGGCCTGACCCTTCCCTGCCGGGTCAAGGCCGAGCTCCCAGTCTGCACACACTGCTCACCACTTCTCTGGGAGCTGCGTTGGCGATCGCTGGCCCTGTGTGGGTGCGGGAAACACCCAGTTCTCATGTATATGGCCTGGTTTGGGAGCTACCAAAGGGCCTTAGGCTACACTGGGGTGAGTTACTCACGGAAATTAGCTTAAAAAAAGGAAGGGGCTCCTCAGAACCCATGGAGAAGAGGAGGATTCTGTAAGTGGCAGGCACACTAACCTGGGGACAGGAGGCCCTGGTTCCTTCTCTCCTCCCCAGGGGAAGGGGAACAAC